TGTTGTTAAATGAGTTTCACTACATTTTACTCAATCCATGACATCTCCTAGCTCTGACAGTCATGTGCAAGCTAGGAAAGAACATCTGAAGATATGTGTAATGTTCTAATGTACAGAAGGTATGGTTAAACGTGTGGCAGAAAGTGGACTCTGGATATGTTTTTCCAAATGCATTAAGTGGGGTTGAATTTGTATAGTTTTATAAGAGCTGTGTGTGTGTGTGTGTGTGTGTATGTGTGTACATACACATATAGTATATATAGTAAATAATGTATCTTTTTCTGTGGCTATACCCACTCTATGCTATGTAATATGTATGTATACATATGGCATATATACATAGGATTAAATAGTATATTTTGGATGTAAGTAGTAAATAAATAGACAAGGAAATTGTATCTCATTGAGACCTTTGAGGTGAGGAGAGTCCAGGCACCCTAACCCTAGACATGAGTGATGTCAGGTTGGCCATGCCGGCCGAGTCACATAACGAACCAGCCATGCCCATCCACTCACATGACCACCAAGCCATGCCCACCAATTAAGCCACTCCCACAGAACTGGTAGNCTTGCAGTCCAAGGGACTCAATGCAGGAGTCTTCTCCAGAACCATAGTCCTTCCATCACTATTCCTGACCAAACCAAAGGCAGTTTTTGCCTAGCGCTCAACCAGATGACTGAATTATCCTATTGTCTTATTTTGCACCATAGGCACACATTAAAAACTAAGCACATTAGTGCATGCACCTGTTATTCTCTCCCCCCCTTCCTAATCTGGTCTTATGCAAACAATGGGTTTCTTTTTGGAGGGTGGAAAAGAAGAGCTGCCTTTCAATCAATTCTCTGGTTAGCATCCCAAGATGGTTTTTAGAACAGTAACCAGAGGACCAGCAATTTCAATTCCAGTCTGATCCAAAAGGGGGCAGCACCACTAGCCTGCCTAGGCCGAGACCTTAACACTCAATTGTTGCAGAATGGCACCCTCTGGTGCTCATCTCATACCTTTGAAGTAAGGAGGGGGGGACGACCCTTGATCCAGCTCAAAAGTCTAATAGATTTGCATTTTCAAATTGAACATTATCTGTATGTGCCCAATCTCCCTCAAAGCTCTAACCCATGTCTTAATCTTCCTCAAATTATTTCAAAATACCTCACTGGCTGTGTCAAATTAATTTGGCAATTGGGTTGAAAGGCTGCATTGCCTTGAAATGGCTCCTTCAAATCAAGTATTTGCATACCCTTAAGAAATGGAGGGTTGGGTCGAAAATGATGAAATTGGAGGGTCCCCCCACACACACACTAGTTACACAAAGTTACGCATTGCGCATAACGAACCTTTCTCCCTTCAGTTTTCAAAACTGGGAACAGCATTTTGACCCCCACTCCAAAATTATTTTATTAAAACGCGAAGGAAGTCAACAGACACACAAGCAGCCGCATTTAAAGGGCTACTGGGGGAAATAAAATAAATACGGCTTTTTGTTTTTCTGCTTAGAAAAAAAATTGTAAGTTCCGTGTTTACATTTTGAATTCTTCAGTTTCACAGCCATAGAGGCACGGTGGTTCGAAAGCAGTATTGCAGGCTTAATCTACCCACTGCCAGGTGTTTGATCCTGACAAGCTGAAGGTTGATTCAGCCTTCCAATATGGTTAGAGGCTTTAAAGTCTTGTACTATTGTCATAGATGATAGATAGATAGATAGATAGATAGATAGATAGATAGATAGATAGATAGATAGATAGATAGATAGATAGATAGATAGATGTAGATAGAGATAAGA